TGCAAGTCACGTTCTCGTCTCACGCTTCGCCTCCTCGCGCAGTTCCGGCGGCCCACGCACTTCCTACGCGGGCACCGCGGCGACGCGCGTACGTAACTTCCGACGCCGTTACGAATTTCTGTGGGCACAAGAACGACGCGCGTAACTTCCGACGTCGTAACGAATTTCTTGGGGCACAAGAACGACGCGCGGAACTTCCGACGTCGTAACGAATTTCTGGGGGCACAAGAACGACCCGCGGAACTTCCGATGTCGTAACGAATTTCTGGGGGCACAAGAACGACGCGCGTAACTTCCGACGTCGTAACGAATTTCTGGGGGCACAAGAACGACGCGCGGAACTTCCGACGTCGTAACGAATTTCTGTGGGCACAAGAACGACGCGCGTAACTTCCGACGTCGTAACGAATTTCTGGGGGCACAAGAACGACGCGCGTAACTTCCGACGTCGTAACGAATTTCTGGGGGCACAAGAACAACACGCTCTACTTTCGAAATCCTAACATTTTTCTGCGGACACGCCTGCAACAGCGACGACTGTTATGTCCGACAATTATATCAACTTTGCGCATTTTCATCCATTATAGACGCAACAAAATTTGGTAAAAATTCTCGGCAGGAGGTTTTCTCTAGTGGCTGAATCATGTAAATGATATATGAAATAAACAAACTGAAGATATTTATCCTATATTTGACCGTGAGAGAAATTTTTTATAAAGTTCAAGGAACTTTCAATTGCTAATCTGATATATTTGCCTTATATTTGTAGCTTCATGTTAAGACTAACTTGATGTAAATATTCAATCTTTATTCCAATTCTGAAAATGCTTGTTGCATTCTGAAATGTCAACGTAAATTCCATCCTGTTGAAAATCTAATGATGCAAATGACGAAGAGTGCATCATCATTATTAAAAACATTGAACGAAAATTTGCATATCGATTTCTATCATAATGATAAAAAATGTGGAAGAAATTATTCTTAAAAGTTTGTAGTAGAAGAACAGGAAACGATGGCTCTGCCACAAAGTTAGGATTCGCCCGGCGAGGTTAATGCACGGCGTCTTTTTCCGGATGCTTCAGAGGGTGGCAGGTGTCCGGCTGCTGAGATCCTCCGGAGCCAACGAACTAACCGTCGTTTGCGACGTCCAAATATAAAGTAATATTGTGAGACGTTACTTACAGAATTGATTATTTTAATTTAGATAATAGCGTGTTAGCACTCCGAGGTAGTTTTAAATTTACTTTTGAATTGCTGAAGGTGAATACCACAATTATTTACGAAGCCGGTCAATTTGGGCTCACGATTGTGAATTTTATTTCAGACAAAAAAAAAATTATAGAGAAAATTTCGAACTAGGAACAATTTTGCTCAACCCGGTGTTGATTTATTTTCCATATGAGAAACGGTGATTTCAAAATTCGATTTCTAATGCATTACGCCTTACCATGAGAACCGTGATAGGTATAAGGAAATTTAATATTTAAATCATCCCTTTGGACTTATAGTGGGCACTTCGTCAATAATTGAGAGTGTGAAATGCGTTTCTCGTTTAAATAAGTTTCATGTAGATAGATCATAACGTGCTCATGTACTCGTATATAGTGGATGCAATCGCCCATTTAAAAATATTAACTTTGTTGAATGTGGAGACTATTGTAAAATTCTTGTATCATTACGTTTAAATGTGCAAAAGTAATTAAGTGACATAAAACATTAAAATTTTTTCTTGTATACTTTGTCGACACAGTTGAGGGTGAAAGTAAATGATGCTCAATTTTCGTGAGAGTACTCGTAAGATTTTTTACTGGCCAATTTATTAACAAGTGTTCGATCAATTGGCGAAAAGAAAAAATCTGCGGTGAATTTGATCATCTCATCCAGATTGGAATCACCGTAGGAATCGAGTAATACAGGGTGACCCAAAAAAAGTTGCTAAAAGTAAAGGCTTATAACTCGAAATTAAACGTAGAAAGATGAAATAAAAACCGCATTAAAGAGTATAACTTCAAGTTTTATTCAGATTACAATAAATGTTCAAAATGACCTCCTCGCTGTTGAATACACAGCTCGATACGTTCTCAAAATTTGCGGTAACTGCAGACAAGGTATCCTGGTAAATAAGTGCGAAAGCTTCACGAATTGCTATCTTCAGATTGTCTATGCTGTGTCTTGTACTGAATACTTTTTCTTTCACTTTTCTCCATAGGAAGAAATCCAAAGGCGATTCATTAATTCTTTCTTCAATCATGGCATTGTTTTCTTCTGATCTTCCAGATCTTCGCCGTCCAGAATGACCTTTGTTTTGATTCAGGATCGTTCCTTTATCTTTCCACTGACGTATCCACTTCTTGATTGTGTTGCGACTAACTTCTTGTCTGTATTTGGTGGAATAACCTCTCTTTATTTTGGTTGGTGAATTTTTCAGGTAAAATTGTTCGACAATGAAAATTCGTTGCTCAGAATTTAGCTACATTGTAGGGGGAATCTTGATTTTAAAAAATAATGAGTTTTAACTATGAAATATATAGAGAACTTTAGTAACATGCATACCAAATAAAACTTGAAGTTATACTCTTTCATGTGTTTTTTATTTAATTTTTCTACGTTTAATACTTTTCGAGTTATAAACCTTTACTTTTAGCAAGTTTTTTTTGGGGGTCATCCTGTATTATGGAGATTTGAATGAGTTATGAAAATTTTCCTAGGCATTCATCATGAGGTTAAATTATTTTCTCCACATCGTACCAAATACCTTCCGATTGACAAACCGTAAGAGAATATTTGACAGCCGTGATATTTATAAATGTTCAACAGCAAAATAATAATAATAATAATAGCGGTTTCAGCGTTTATTAGGCCGTAGGCCTGTCATAACATCGCAGAACATTAACAGCATTTCGCGGTCTCGAACTCGCAACTCACTACCCTCACATTTGAACCTAAATTAGTTCTTGAATGAGCTAACTGGAGAGCCTAAAATTTTTTAAATGGGATTCAATGAATGTGATGATGTTCTCATAAATTGATGATAGAAAGAAAAGTTAAATATAAATTAATTACTAATTAATTAAATGGAAATAAAATTTTAAAAATAATTTCAAATTTTAATTAACCGTTGTTAGAAAATTCAGAATATTTTCAGATTACAAATAATACTTTTATGTTTTTTATGAATGAATAGTTTCGATTAAAAAAGAGTGACTTGCTCAAAAATAACTTATATCTTTCAAGTTCTGTTCTTACATAGTAGAGTTTATAAGAAATTCTGTTCCGTTTTAATTTAAGGAAGACTATGAAGATTAAGTTTGAATAGTTGTTAACGTCTAGGATAAGGAATTAACAGTTAAGAGCTTGAAGGAGGTGACAAATGGTGTATTTTAGGTTGCTGTGTAATGTAAAGTATAAAATGTTCCTTTTTCCTCTATATTAACTTGATTTAATGCATGGAATGGGCACCTAGTCCTGCGAATGCATGCAAATTCACTTCTTTGCTTGGACGCATTAATAACTTTGGCCGTATTGCCGGCCTAAAATCTTAACCTTAACCATATTACTAATTAACTTATTTACTAAATTAGCTGAGTTGGGCCAACCTATAACTAACCGTTGCACATTTTACTTAAATCAAACCTCTGATTGGCATCTATGCCACTTCTAAATGGAGCCATCGGCAATAATTTAGAAGGTTGGTTAAATTAATATTTGATCGATATTTATTTGATAAAATATATGACATCATATTGTTCAATTAAATTGCCCTTTATATTTTACTGTAATTCAAGCCATCTTTGTTACGTTACAGATAACGACTCGCATCACACGTCTCCCATTCTGCGGGAACTTTGTCGTACGGAACGCCTCTTCTGTTTGCTGCTGCGTGCTGCCGTATTTAGTGTCGCAACTTCGCAAGGTTAATGCTGGGAATCAAGGTCACTGTTAAATCATTTGCCGATAAATTGGAATACAGAATATGATCACATAAAGCATCCTTGAACTAAGTTTGTCAGTTAATCAGACTGTTTTTATCTCTGATTGCAGTTGCTCCACTGCTTCTTCAATTCTGATTTTTTTTGCCTTCGAAAACCTTCGAAGATTTATCCTGCGGATTCTCAAATAAAGTTTATCAGCGATTAAATTCGTGTAAATTCCTTACAAGTTAAGTTCATCTGTAGGTTGAGTTCATCATAGCTTTTTCTATACTCTAGTAAAAAGATTAATTCAAGTATTCAAAGGCGCCTCTAGCAAGGACCTTAGCAGCTTTATAGGACTTTTTTTTTTGTTTATAGTGCACAGTATTATTTTAAACTGGAGTTAGTATCGATTCACGCAAACAAAAGATTAGTGTAAAAGGAGTTTTCTGAATTCATTGAAATCATTTCATGATAGTCTAACTAAAATATTTCACAAATAATTTATTTAGAACAATTTTCTGTACAATTGGTCGTTTTCAATACAATATCTCACGAACTCATGTTCGCCAAGCACTAACATATTCAAATTTAATCTAATGCATTGACTTTCTCTGCAGTTTTTTCCGCAGTTATCGCTTCAAATGTACATTAATAAATAAGCGTGTCCAATACTTTATTGACCATTTTACTCCCAACTCAAACTTATTAAAGGTTATTTAGTTTTTTATCCACGATTTCATTCATAATCCATGCCAAGATACAACAGCTGAGCATGTCTTTCATGAGAAGAATATTTGTAGAAGTGCTTCTACTTATTTGCCTATAGTATATAAGCTTTCGGCTTTATCAAATAATTTTGTTAAGGTGGTGTGCACTTGTGATTTGTTAAATTAAAAAATTAAATTAGCTAAATTCAATGTTAAAAAGAATTAAATGTCAATATATTTGATATAGTTAATTATTAATTCGTTTTATACGCCCTAACGCTTCAGCTTTGATATAAATGTAAGGGCGCTATGCGAAAGTTAGTTTTTCATTGTCGTCACACAGGAAAATAATCAGAATAATAAACTCCTGGATAAAAAACTTTATTTTCACATCAAGCTTTATGTAAAACAATCATAAAAATATAAAGAATCACTTAATGACCTTCATCCCTTAGAATTAAATATCCTTATCATTTACAAATTATTCAATTGAACATGGAAGCCTATGAGTTCGCAAAAGAAATAGGTGAAAAAATGCTAATAAACATGTCTCTATACAAACTAATTATAGTTAAAAACATCTCCACTAATAATAATTATTTTGAGACACGAATGGGCATTGCGTTGTTAAAACATCAATTCTATTTCGATTACGTACATTTTATACATGCCTAAAATGAGAATGGAACTCATTTCGATATGTATTTATTTCATTTGCCTAAAATGCAAATCGGAAGAAAATACTAACACATATAACCCATTGATAAAATTCACATTTTATTTCTAAATATACATAATATTGACATTGTGATCCCGTTACATTTACAATTAAGTGATGTCCATACAAAAGTAGAGAGTCAAAACATTTCAGGGGACGTATGAAGTGTATGAAGTGTATGAAAAACATTTGTGCGTGTATGAAGTCCTTCTCGATATTTTAAATACCTGGAAGTTGGTTGAGAAAAAATAATAACGTACAAAGTCCTAAATGTTGTAGTGTCATTTTTATGCTTCGATGAGTCATTGCACCAATAATATTCATGGTACTCAAGCATTATGGATAGTCCTCATGTACAAATGTACCGGTCAATCATCCTTTCGTAGAATCAAATACACTACGTTAATGAAACGACGCACGATTCTGCGCAACTCACCAATCACTTTGCCTTTCATGTGATATAATCGAGATGTAAATGCCAGTCTTGTAATTTTCATCGGTTTGTAGTTATTAAGAACACATAGAAATTTATAGCCATGAGACTGAAACATGCCAATATTTATTCGTAAGATAATCCGTGGATAGTGCAACTGAAGAAATAATATTCACCATAGAGCAAAATTACTTTTGTACAATCAATTCTGTTTAATTTTTATGTTCACAATACATACTGTCTTCAATTCTGAAATGTTATTATCAAGCAATCCAGAAGTTTTAGTCATCGTTGTGGCAGCAACCTTCAGCAAATTTTTATTCTCAAATCGCCAAGAAAGCAAAAATTTTTGGTCTCGCCGTAGGCACAAACCAGCGACAGTTTGCACGGGAAACCAACGTTTATATAAAACTAACAGGATAAATGACCGCTTACCTAGCTTAAAATTAATTTAAATATTTATTATTGCTGGATCCAGCCGCCTCGGGAATATCCTTCTGTATTTAAAATCTGTACAGTTTTGTACACATTACGCGGAGACATGATTGCACCAACATTGCGCACTGTTGACAATGAACGATACATGAAAAAAGGAAACGAGTATACATGAGAACATCAGTGAGAATGAGTAGAGGTTTGCATGCGAAAAATTAGGCGTTCTTATTGCCTAAATTTTGTTGGAAAAAGAGCATTTCTTGAAGGAGTATTTATGTCATCCACAACGAGTAGCTCCCCTAAGATAAATGACGTTGAAACAACATTTATTACAAGCTGATTGCGTTAAAACAGCGTTTATACTACGTTATTTCAACGTCTGATGCCTAATGGGTCGGGTAATACAATACTTCTATACTGGCCGTCAGTTTATTACAGGGAGTTTATTTTAAAATAGAAGAGTCGGTTGAAGATTCTATACAAATGATGAAGACAAACACGTGAGTCAAAATACAGATGACTGAAAGTTTAATGTCATATTACTCATAGCTATCGTGCCCGCTTAAATAGACTCATCAAATGGAAATGTGTCTCTTCATGTGAAGGCTTAGATGATCAGATCTCGAGAAAGATCTGTCACACAGCCTGCATTGGAAGGGTCGGTCCCCTGTGTGCTTGCGGTAATGCCTCGTTAGTTCGTCAGATCTTGCGAATTTCCAGCCACAGCCTTTCCACCGACAGATGTACGGTTTCTCGCCGGTATGAGTGCGCTGATGAGCTTTCAGGTGAGACGATTTAGTGTAAGTTTTGCCGCAGCCTGCGTTAGGGCAAGTGTGGATAATGACCTTCCGTCGAGCTCTTCGTCGTCTACGGGGCGCAGGCTGGTTGTTCACGGACCCGGGAGGAGGTCTTGCAACCTGCGCGGTCACAATTCCAGACTGATGGGGGGAAGAAGGGGGCGTGAGCACCATGCCGCTGTTGCCCCAGTACTCGTACATGGCCCCTGCGAAGCCTGGTCTCGCCTGCATCTGATGTGGTGCTGAGCCAAGAGTTGCGTTCCCAGGATGAAAAGGAATCCTCGGGAGATTTGAAAAACCACCTTTGTTTGATGACGGTGACCGAGTGATACTGAAAGTACCTGAATGAATTGTTATGGAATTAAATGTTCCATTGACAGCGGCGTGACTTGATGAATCGTTTGAATTCAAAGGAAGCCCAGGCGGAGATAGACTAGAGGCAGAGACCTGCCCTAGCGTAGAGGTAATCTCGTTGACGCTGATTGTCGGTAGCGCACCTGGAACACCCGAGTTGCTCTCGTACATAGATGAGTGTAAATGTGCGATATTTTTATCGGCCATTATTGGTCCTACGCTTGGATCATGATTGCCAACCGAAGTAGTCGCATGCATGGATGTCGATGTACTGCAGTGAGGGCTGGAGGTTGCCGGGTGTAGGTACGCAGAACCAACGTAAGGTGATGAAAGGTTTGCTAAAGTGTAAAATTGTTCGGGCGATAGCGCGAATTCGTTATTGTCAAGCACGGCTGACTCTGCCGCTCCGTATCGTCTCTGTTGGATATTTTCCAGATGCTCTTGCGCGTTCATCTGCTGTGCCTGTTTCACCACATCGCTAGGGGTGGGCGTGTGGACGGCAGTGGACTCGTTTAGAGGAGGACTTTGGTAAGTATTGTGGTGTGCAGCAGTTGGCCTGTCTTGCAATTGGTACAAATGACAATTAAGATTCTGACCAGGCACCTGAGAGACGCTGCTGTGGGTGGACACCAGAGTTGACACTGGAGGCAAAGGCCCCTCTAGGTGTTGGTCTGGAGGAGTAGGTGGTAGTCTGATGGGGGAAACGCTCATCTGATGTGACAGGTGCTGCTGCGCATGACCTCCCACGGAGGGTGGATGGTAACTGTGCTGTGGAGAGGACGGTGACAGAGGGAACGGTGTTGGTTCAAACTGTAATAAGTTGTGGGGGTCGTGAATATCTTGCTTGTGATGGACGTGTTTCTCGGGGGTGAGATGGTGGAGGGGGGTGGGGGATCCTGAACAGGTTGGGGACTGGCTGGGGGCTAAGGACTCGCAGAGATTGCCATCGTCGTGGAGCAGTACAGACTCCAAGTCTTGCCACATCTGCACATACAAACAAAACAAAAAAATTACTAATTTTTTCATATTTTGTCAACAATGTTTTCACAGATAGCAAGAAAGCGGAGCAATTCAGGCACACCATTTCTTGCTCAAATAAAATACCATTACAAACATAAAATCCGATAGACAATTTAATAGATGTGGGAAAATCATATTTATCAATTCCATATTAATTTCTAATGCATCAGCTTTTTATTAAGTGAACAGAACATGTAAATTAACTTAAAGATTTAGTTCAGCATAAATCATTAAATATCGGCGTCAGCAGCAGAATAAATGAAAGTCAAGAAACGAGACTTACTATTAATTTGATGATCACTTACTCTTCTTCAACGTATATAATGATTTCAACAAAGACCTCGCCCGTTAATGTTTACATATATTTTTCACATCTCAATTCCGTATTGTTACCGTTATTCAAATAAGACTTGCCTCAACATCGTACTGCCAAACAATGAGTGTCATAAACGAGGATAAGTAAACGCATTATAGAAGTTAGATGGTATAGAACTTGCTTTAAGAAGCATCTTGATGATAATTTCGCTCATTAGGCTCAATAACGAGTTAGATTAGAACAATAAAAGTTTACGCTAAGAATAATCTGTACTTTTGGAAAAATAAATTTGTGATACAAGTCATATAACCTATCTGTTTACCACGGTACATCAAATTCCATAATACAAAGATTATATTTAGCTACATATACGATTGCAATCGAAGAATTTCTTTTAAATGAGGTCGTATTGATATAATATTGACTGGCAGTGCTCTTATATAGACATCATCTACACTAAGCCCGCAGGCTAGTCAGGGCAAATCTATAATAACTCCACGGAACTCACAATCAATATTTCACTACCCACTTATTACAGTATATGAAGGAAAGATCTTTCTATTCGTTCATGTCCCTCGATCATGGCTCTCAACTACTGAAGAAAAATTTTCAATGTGACCTTCCTACATAAAAAATTAAGGGAGTTAAATTGTAAAATCACTTTGAAATGAATAATCTCTTTAAATGATTGTATTTTTCGGAAGGCACGTTTTCAATGAATGGGTTGTTCGTGGGGAATCGGGAACAGCAGAAGAATTTATGCAGGTGTGGAGTGAGGCTTTATGTTATCCTGACTTGAATTTGAAAGAGTATCCATGGAAGAAAGTAACGCAATACTATATTCTCTACACACATCAGTTCTCTAATAAGATAAACACTAAATGTATTGCGCGGCAATATCAGTGTTTAGTCTTGCTATTCAATTGTTTTTTTTTTTGCAGTTTTTTAATGCGTTATGCCAGGAACGGTCACAAGGAATTTTTCGTAAAGAATTGCTAATAAAATAAACAGGCATGAGTTTCTCTCAGATATTCGGCTCGGAGATATAATATGTCTTTATTTATTATTATTTATTATTTTAATTATTATTTAGCATTATTAATATATTATTCCCCGCCTCCCACATCGTACTAAAAAATGAACGATGTTTCTCAGTGTACCGTTTTAAAACCAATCCTTGTAACACATAAACATATTTTGATGTTTCAATTTATATATATAACATACATCTATAACAGAGCCATCAGATCACATCGCGGATATCAGAACATCAATAGAGAAGAATTGTTACACACAACAATAAATTTTCATCAGAATTGCAGTTCTACCCATACACGTTTCGTGAATGTATGCAAACCCACAGCGTAGACAAAGGCTGACAAATCATGATTGAGAATTATTCTAATGCTCGATACTTTTCTTGGATAAGAGAAACAATAATTTTTAACACCGTGTGAAAATTTGCCAGTATAGTCGCATAAGGCTCCTGGGTATATTTTATATGTTTAATGCTACACCTCGTACGTATATGAAACGCGATCGATCTATAAGAAGTGCATGACGAGTGATCAATTTTCAATTAAAGTGGAACGTATTGATTATTCGTCGAACAACTTTTTACACTAAAATAATCTTACAGTGATGTTCATTTACGACGATAGCCTTGAAGTTCAAGTTACTGACCTCGTTAAAGTCGGCAAGAGCAGACGTGAGTGACGTGGATGGAGTTAGTGACGGACGCAGAACCTCCATTTTGCTAGAATGTCAAGCGTCCATTAGTGAAGAGCCGCAGGGCTCGACAGGGGTCACAGCTCCCGTAAAATAACGAACGAAATTTCCTATCAAGAACACGGCTCAGACAATTTTAAAGCCAAATTTCTGTGACTCGCTCAATCAGCCAAATGATAATAAATTCTGCGGTGCTATCGTGTCGCGTTAACAACAGAAATATTATAAATTTTTCGGATAAATAATGAGTGAAAAACACCGAGCACGTGTACTGCGGGACAGAAGTATCGACGTTTGCCTTTACTTCACGGGACTGGAAGCGGACTGAGCACTTGCAGGGACTGGAACTCCAGAGCACTGCAGCGCCGCCCTCACGGCCGACAGGTGAAACGCTGCCACACGTCGCCATCCAGCCAGGCTCTGGAAACGGCAGCGTTGTCTCCGGGAAACATTTTAACTCTTGAATATGGGGACGGTGAGGCAGCTTTTGGAAACAACTGCTGTACCTCTGGAATATGGGGATAATGAGGCAGCTTTTGGATACAATTGTACCTCTGGAATATAGAGATAGTGAGGCAGCTTTTGGAAACAACTGTACCTCTTGAATATGAGAACGACAGCGTTGTCTCCGAAAAACATTTTACCTCTGGAATATGGGGACGGGAAGGCAGCTTTTGGAAACAAGTGTACCTCTTGAATATGAGAACGGCAAAGCAGCTTTTGGAAACAATTGCACCTCTTGAATATGTGGGCGGGAAGGCAGCTTTTGGAAACAATTGTACCTCTTGAATATGGGGACTGGAAGGCAGTTTTTGGAAACAATTGTACCTCTTGAATATGAGAACAGCAACGCAACTTTTGGAAATAATTATACCTCATGAATATGGAAACGACAACTCCAGACCATTATTGTATGTTTGCTCCTCCATGCCGTAATGCTAGACAACTGTTGCACCTCTTGAATATAGAAGCAGCAACGTCAAACCACCATTTCAACGCTTATAGAAACTTAGAAATTGGAAACAGCAACGGAAACGATTGCAGCTCTTGGAAACGATTGGAATAGCAAAGCTGTCTGGGGAAACCATTGCATCTCGCTTTGTTTTCTTCCTCTTCTGTAAACGTAGACGACTTTAAAATTGCTGTTGTTCAGAAGGGGAAGTGCTCCTATTAGAGCTTCGTTATATTTAGTGACTATTGCAATGGTGTGCCTTTAGTTTGTTATTATGTGTGTTCAACGAGCTGATGGAAGATGCATTAATCAAAATTATTATTTGCAATCGGCGTTTCTTGTGCAATTGATAAGTTTATTGAAAATTATTTTCTTATTCGTCAACCTCCAAATACTCGGAATAAAAATCTCAACAATCATCGAAGTTTCCTTCAGTCAAGTTTGTTCTGGATTCGAAGAACATGGACGTTAAATTAAGTATTAAATATTCGGAAGGTCTATTTTACGAACTTCATTCGTTCGTTAACACTTCAACAATCAGTGCTAAAGTTCGTCTAAGTTATTTAGTTGATTATGAGCTGGGAAACAGTGCCTAGAAAAAGTGTTTGAATTTTATTCTATTTTTCTCCTAGTGTTATAATTTTATCCTAGTTCTATCATAGTGCAAAAATTCTCGTCTAGTTTCCTCCTATAGTGCAAGAATATCGTTTTAATTATCTTTTAGGGTTAAAATTTTATTCTATTTCTCTTTTAGTGGCAAAATTTCCTCCTAGTTTTTCCCTAGTTGCGCCTGGATTTGAGGTCAAGAACGACGACGTCTTTGGAGCAACTAGAGCGCGTTTAGCGTCTCCCCCTCCCCCGCCCCACCTGGGGGTCGTCGCTAGGTGTGCCCCCCCAAAGGCCCCCCTCCACCAGGGGTCTGACCAATACGAGCGCTGCTCCGTATAATGGCTGAAGTGTTGTTTTTCACCACAATTTCCTGCAATAAAGCAGCTAAAAAGCGGCCGTTCTTTGCTTCAGGAATGCGTGAGCTGCGGCGCATTTCAATGACATTCTTAATGTTTAGCCTGACGATGGTGAATTATTCACTGAATTCAGTGAATGAATTTCGTAACAGAATTTGTTCGCATAGGAACAGTGGAATGATGTTCTCTGAATCTCAGTAAGTTTGTCAGTAAATGCCTAATCAGTGCAAGATAATTAAACTTAATGCAAATGAATATATAACAGTTATATACCTACAACAATACTTCTGATAATTGAAAATTTTAATTTCGAATAAACCCAGAGAAGAAAATTTTCAATTAACTCGATACAAATTAACTGATCTATATATACGCGGTGGACTACTTTGTTCTGTACGTTTCACTTAAATTCGACTGCTCAGTTTAAAGTCATTATTATAGCGCTAGTTATATTGGAATAATATCCTCGCCGTGCTTAAAATTAACAGAAAATATTCAGTCTGAAAATTGGCCGGAAGTTTGAGGTACGAGATTTATTCAGTCATTAATTAAGTTTACTATGAATAAATATTACCTAACTCAACTATAGCCCGAGCAGTACAAAATACTATAGAATGGCCGGGCTCATGTTGCTTAAATTCTTAATAAAAAAAAACATTTCTTCTTGATGGGATATTTGTAATTCCCATCAATAAAATAGCATATTATTATCATAATTCTAATAAATTGAGTATATCCGCATTCGCCATTCATTTATTCATTATATAATATGTCATGCGATTAATGCATGATATTTAGACAAAAAAAATCATTTGCATTCAAGAATTAAGTACAGGGCTCGAAGGTATTTTCCATTTGTTATTTCAACGTAAATAAGTCGCAACTTTCACAAGCGCGAGACACTGCATGAAATCTACGGGATTTTATCCCACGTTTAAAAGCTAATAGACTGTGCATTAGCTGATAGGCTGTACATTAGCTGATAGGCTGTACATTAGCTGATAGGCTGTACATTAGCTGATAGGCTGTGCATTAGCTGATAGGCTGAGCATTAGCTGATAGGCTGTACATTAGCTGATAGGCTGTGCATTAGCTGATAGGCTGTGCACTAGCTGATAGGCTGTGCATTAGCTGATAGGCTGTGCATTAGCTGATAGGCTGTGACATTAGCTGATAGGCTGTGCATTAGCTGATAGGCTGTGCACTAGCTGATAGGCTGTGCATTAGCTGATAGGCTGTGCATTAGCTGATAGGCTGTGCATTAGCTGATAGACCGTGCATTAGCTGATAGGCTGTGCATTAGCTGATTGGCTGTGCATTAGCTGATAGGCTTTGGTCTCAAACGCCATTTAAATGTTATTGATTCAAATTCGACACTTTCCATCAGCAACTATTTCTTATTTAACATTAAATTACAGTCTATCTTTATCCAGAGCTCCTGATATTTGACATGCCTATATAAATTAGAGCTTTTGACTGGCATTTCCATTTCTTGTTTTGACTAGCGAGCAAATTTCAGTTACGAACGAAAGCTGCTACTATAACGACTTTAATGAATTACTGAAATATCTATCCCTAGAAATCAATCAGCTTTTCAACACTCAAGGCAAGTGTTGACTCTTATACATTTTAAGCAGAAAATCTCTTCTTGCCTGGGTCGTCATAAGTTTTTATATCATCAATCTCAACCATAGCGATGAGGTCAGGATGGCCGAGCGGTCTAAGGCGCTGCGTTCAGGTCGCAGTCTGGTTCTCCAGGCGTGGGTTCGAATCCCACTTCTGACATGAAAATATTTTACAAATTTAAAACATACAGGTGTAATACCATCCTGATTTCGTGATTGTAGAACTACAGGAGTACTCTTAGTATGTGTAGCGGACGGGTACGCAGCCGTCGCCTACAAATTTAACTCTTAAAAAGCAAAGAAGCAAACGCTCAGTACAAAAATTCTCAGCTAAACTCAGCCTCAGAACTACAATGCCGCAGACCACGCTTGAAACACTTCAAGCCACACCATGCAGTTCCGCGACGGCTCGAAACCAAAGGCGCTGTGTGCCTACAGCCACTTCTCCAGCCAGTCTAGTCTCCACTGCATCTACACCCCAACATACGCCTACCTCTACACTTACCCTGCCTCCCCACCTCGCTAAAGCCAATGATCGGATCCAGTCCCCCACATGCCCCGTTTATCCACCTTGCTGCAGCCAATGAGGTTAGGTTAAAGAATTGATGTCACATGTTTTCTTAAATCGCAAGTTTAAATAAAATTTAAAAGCAAAGAATAGCCCACAAAAATTCATATCTTTATAGAAAAAGTTTCGGAGTCCAGTTCCTAGTTAAAAAAGTTAAAAGTTAATCAAAAAAGTTAAAAGTTAATCAATATTATTGTGCACGATGTGCATCTGCGTACGTTGGGATGACGTCACGCAATTTTTATTCCAGGGTCGCTGAGCATAAGGGCAGGAGTTGTAGGACCGGACAGTTGCTATCGCGCCCACCTCATTCGGCTGTGCGCACTCATGCCGAGCAGTGTGATGTCCCTGTTTCTGGCAGTGACTTTAAGGTGTTAGCTTCCACCTCCGGTACTTCAGATTTGCGTATTTTAGAATCATTGTACATCTTTAAACTTAGGCCTAGTTTGAATTCAACTGTTAGCTCCTATCCTCTTGAAATTGTGAATAGATTGTTTTTTTGTGCTCTATTTTATTTGTAAATTTAAGTTTTTAATTGCGTTCTGTGCGTTCAATTATATTAATTTGTTACTTTCTATATGAATTCTAGAGGTTAGGTTAGGTGCGGGAAGGTTTGTTTCGGTGGAGAGGTGGGGCACTTGTGGAGGAACAGCGACTGCTGGCTTACGGCACCTATGGCTCCATGCACGTAAGTTCATAGGCTTATCTACTCAGTAGCATGCTTGCTCACAGGTAGGAATATGAAAGTGATGACGGTATTGGGAAATGCTGGCCTCCAACATGCAACCACCCTATCGGAAGAAGCAGACCCATGCTACGCTGGGAATGAGTGCCGCCTCTGTATTCCTCCGTCGTCAGCTCCCCGCAGGCAAGTCGTCCTTAATTGCCCCGAGATCCCGGGAGCTAGTCTGTAATTACCGCAGACATTTTCGCAAGACATTTAGACAGAATTTATGCTTTCCAAATCTGTTCTCAATCCCAAAATTTCTGACCATCGTGAAAAACACGATAGAGAAAGCAACTTTTGTGCGTCTCGTACGTCTTGACCACAGTCAATCAGAGCGTTACGACGCTGACACAGCTGTGTCTGCAAGGGGCCAGGAGCTACGGCTTCATCCTCAACCGATTTGCTTCTGCGAATTTATCAAATTCAATAAAGGGCCTATTGGAATTAAATCAGCCTATTATTGATTAAAACCGGAGAACAGACCTCATG